CTTTGTTTCTTATTACTTTCTTTGTTTTGAAGTCTATTTTGTCTGATAGAAGTACTGCAACCCCTGCTTTATTTCTCCCCATTGGTTGCATGAAATATCTTTTTCCATCCCTTTACTTTCAGTCTTTGTATGTCTTTGGGTTTGAAGTGAGTCTCTTGTAGGCAGCATATAGATGGATCTTGCTTTTTTATTCATTCATTGTCTCTGTGTCTTTTGATTGGTGCATTCAGACCATTTACATTTAGGGTGATTATCAATAGGTCTGTACTTATTGCCATTGCAGGCTTTAGATTTGTGGTTACCAAAGGTTCAAAGGTAATTCCCTTACTATCCAACAGTCTAATTTAATTCACTTCATTTGCTATTACAAACACAACCTGAATGTTCTTTTTTTTCCCTTCTTTTTCTTCCTCCTATATTCTTTATATGTTAGATATCATATTCTGTACTCTTCATCTATCCCTTGGGTGACATCTATTTAGCTTCAGGAATACTTCCATCTATTGCAGTTCATCCAAAATGCACTGTAGAGGTGCTTTGTGGGAGGTAAATTTTCTCAGCTTTTTCTTATCTGAAAATTGTTTAATCCCTCCTTCAAATTTAAATGATAACCTTGCCAGGTAGAGTATTCTTGGTTTGAGCCCCTTCTGCTTCATTGCATTAAATATATCATGCCACTCCCTTCTGGCCTGTAAAGTTTCTGTTGAGAAATCTGATGATAACCTGATGGGTTTTCCTTTCTATGTGATCTTTTTTCTCTCTCTAGCTGCTTTTTAAAAGTCTGTCTTTATCCTTGATCTTTGCCATTTTAATTATTATATGTCTTGATGTTATCTTCCTTGGGTTCCTTGTGTTGGGAGATCTGTGCACCTCCATGGCTTGAGAGACCATCTCCTTCCCCAGACTGGGGATATTTTCAGCATTTACCTCCTCAGTAACACTTTCTATCCCTTTTTCTCTCTTCTTCTGGTACCCCTATAATGTGGATATTGTTCCATTTGGATTGTTCATACAATTCTCTCAATATTCTTTCATTCTTAGAGATCCTTTTTTCTCTCTGTGCCTCAGCTTCTTTGTATTCCTCTTCTCTAATTTCTATTTCATTTACTGTCTCTTCTACTACATCTAATCTGCTTTTAAATCTCCCCATTGTATGTTTCATTTCAGATATGGAATTTCTTAATGATTGAATCTCCATCTTAAATTCATCCCTGAGTTCTTGAATATTTTTCTGTACCTCCATGAGCATGTTTATGATTTTTATTTTAAACTCTCTTTCAGGAAGATTGGTGAGTTCAGTTTCATTTGGTCATTTCTCTGAGGTTTGTGAGGTTTTGGTCTGATCCAGGTTCCTTTGCTGTTTCATAATTCTATGTGGTGCCCTCTAGTGCCCAGAAGCTCTAGTCTGTGGAGCTACTCAGCCCCTAGAGTGAGGTTGGGGGTCATAGGGGAGCGGCACTGGTGCCTTGGGGGAGGAAAGAGCTGTTTCCTGATTCCTGGCTGCAGTGCCTGTCTCCAGTGTCAGAACCAGTGGGCCAAGCACACAGGTGTAAGCCTCTGTGCTTGGCATCTCTACCTGTTGTAGGCAGGACCTCCCTCTGGCTGGCCTGACACCACTGCTGTGACTGCAAGTTTATGAGCAGGTGCCCACAGGCCAGGAGGAAGGTGCAGCAGGCTGCCTGTCACAGTGGAGGGCCTTGGAGCTGGGTAGGTAGCCATGGGGATGGAGTGCCTGAATCTCCTCAGAGTTCCCAACCTGCTGGGCAGAGTGTGCCCAGACAACCTTGTCCACCTATCCTCCCGCGCAGGAAGCTCCGTCCAAACCCCGCTCCTTCAGCAGCCCTCTCGCTGCTAGGAAACCTCTCAGACCACCTGTCTTTCTTTTATCCCAGAGTGGCTGGATGTGGATCCCTGTCTTCCACAAACAGCTGGAATCTCAGTTTCTCAAGCACTCCCCTGTCCCAGCTCCCCAACCCCATCAACCTCCAGAGCATCACTCAGTATATATTTGTGCTCCAAAGCTGACCTCCAGGGCTGGGTGTTCAGCAGTCTTAGGCTTCCACCCCCTGCCCACTCCATTTCTCTTCCTCCTGCCAGTGAGCTGGGGTGAAGAAAGGGCTTAGGTTCCGCTGGATCAAGGCTTTTGTACGTTACCCTGTTTCGTGAGGTCTGCTTTGTTCATGAGGTCTGTATGCAGTCTGGTGCAGCCTTCTTTCCTGCTGCTGTTTTAGGGCTAGTTAGTTGTATTAACTATATTTTCACACTATATGTGGTTTGGGGGGGAATTCTCTGTCTCACCTCTCATGCCGCCATCTTGAACCCTCCTCCATAGGTATTTAAATGGAGATAATGCAGACTGTGAACTCTGTTTGGCTTCCAGTTGGTTCTGTGATCATTTGGCTATCATCTTAGCTAGTTCTTGGGCTTCACTCCAACTGAACTATTTCTACTTTCCCTAAACCTTTTCTGTATTATTTTCTTGGAACTGACATTTGAACACCAGACCCCCTCTCACTTCTGAACTAAAAGACTCTCTTTTAAATACTTAGTGTCCAGGTCTTTCCTGCAGTGCCCCATTGATCCATAAGAGCTGCTCAGCCATCTCTCGAGAATTCAGCAATGGTGTGGACTAGAGTAAGCTTCTCTTCAGCTCATAGGAGAGAAATAGGACCTATCAATCAAATTGAGGGTGTTTGAATTGTATGTGTCTAGATCTTCCCCAAATATGGTTAAACATAATTAAAAGAGAAATATGACTTCTATTATTTTCTATTTTATTCATTGCAGAAACATAATATTTATATATAGGTTAAAAAATATTTATATATAGGTTAAAAAAAATCTGTCAGCTGCCCTAAGCACCAAACCATAACTTACATTTTTCTTTTTATGGGTAAATGTGTCCCATATTCTGATGAAATTTTGAGAGAAAGACTATTTCTAAAACATGAACTACTTATACAATGGAACAAAAAATTCTTTCCACTCAACTTTTGAGTGCAGGTATTAATACACTAGATGGTTCTTCATACTGAAGCTTCATGTACATAACATTGACTCAGCCATTCAACAATTTATTTTTATTTTTCCCTTTTTAATCATACGTGTCATCATCTAAGCAATAATCAAAACATGTCCAACAGAGTTTGTTCTTCATAAGGGTCAGAATGACCAGGTCTCATCTTGACAATCTACTTGGCTTGCCATGTAAACACTGCCAAATATAGAATGTATTTTCTATTAAATATACACTTGGAATAATAAATCAAGGTGACATTTTTTTAAAAAACACAATTGTGACTGCGACTTAATTATCCTAAACCACCCTAAGACATGGTTGGCAGGTTGGGCGGGCTCAGCTATGCTGGCTTTCTTCTGTTCTCGCCAGCCTTGCTCCGATGTGTTTGGTCAGCTGTGAGGTTGGCTGGGGCTGGCTAACCTGTGAGAGCTTTATCTGGGACAGATGGGAAGATCAGTACCTCTCTCTCTGGTCTCTCATTTTCTAACAGTCCAGAAAATATGTTGGCAATGGCAGGGGTCACAAGAGAGTTCAGGAAGACAGACCCCAAGTTTTTTGGCTTATTATCTTTGTTGTAGTTAATATCCCATAGTTCAGTTTAAATCAGTGGTCACCCCATTACCCATATTGTAAGGAGAGGAGAAATACATTCTACTTATTTTATGGGAGTATCTACAGATAACACTCAAGACTGTGAATGGAGAAAACTGAAGAACTTGTGGCCATTTTTATATTTTTGCTTCACCCTATCTGTTGGATCTCAAAAGGAAACAAATGATAAACTTTAAAACTTCTAGAATTTTATAACTAGATGAGACATATCTTTTAAAGCCATCTGTGGTTTTTTTATGTGATATATATTACTAACAGAAAAAAATCATATTTATTTTTAGTTGAACTTTTATTCAAAATTCCCAGGTTCAAGCTTTGGCATTTACCACAGAGTATTATTGTTATTTGTATCTTGATTCTGAAAATATATGCAGTATTTATCCTATAATCTCAGTGGGAGGAATGATGTGAAACAGTATTATTAATGATGCCAGATTTTCTTCCTAAATAATTAGAGTGTTAAATGGACAACTCCACTATTTGGGTATTCTTCTGATTTCCTTAGAGAAATTTAATTACCTCCTCCTTCCACATGATGTCTCTGTTTAGACAGAGTAAGAGAGCTTGAAGTATTCTTCCACCTGAGCACTTCATTTTACCTGTCAAAAAACAGGCCCTGAAAATCCTAGTTACTTACCCAAGGCCACACAACCAGTTAATGATACAACTGGGGATGCAATGGCCAGGGCCTCTGATTCCCAGTTAAATGCTTTTTCCACTGTTCACTTACTGGTTCCCCTTCTGTTCTCTTAAAACAGCCAAAAGAATCCAGAGAATGCATCTCGTTTCTCTTCCAGATTGCCACCACTCAGATTTTCTAAGATGAGCAGTAGGTGATTTCCCCCCCAACCTCTTCTTGAGTCTTCCATTTCTATCAGATTTTTGCTTTTCCTCACACAGGTACTGAGATATCCGCACTGGGAACTAATCAAATTGCTGTCTTCAGCCAGACAATGTCTGCATTTGTTTCTACAACTAGAATTTATGTTAAGAGTACATACAGCACAATTCCAAATTTATGTTTATAAATTTCATGCTTATAAATTGAGAATTATTGCTTGTTTATAAAACCTTGAAAACAATCACCTAATTTAATTTTGGTCAGATTTTAAGGGAAGTAATAAGTCATCTAAAGTAGTTGTAAGTTGCAAGACCATAATGCTTCTGGATACCAATATTATACAAACTTTTTTGGAAGTTTTCATTTTTAGAACTTGGTTTTTGCCATGCTTGAACTTAAATCAAATGACAAATTGATGTAGATGAATACTATGCCTTTTATGCATTATTTATACATAAACTTCTTAGCCTACTGGGAAATTTAGATATCGTTTTGACAAATAAGTGGCTCTTCCAATGGTGTTTTCAGGAGGCTTATCGGGAGGAGCAGCTGATCAACCGGCTGATGAGGCAATCCCAGCAGGAGCGCAGGATTGCCGTGCAACTCATGCATGTTCGGCATGAAAAGGAAGTTTTATGGCAAAACAGAATTTTCAGAGAAAAGCAGTATGAGGAAAGGCGACTTAAAGACTTCCAGGATGCTCTTGATAGAGAAGCGGTAAACAATATCTCCCCCAAAAATCTAAGGTTGTTTTTGATCCTTTCTACTAAGTCAAGGCAAACCAAGCTGCATTTACTTGTGAATCATTTAATGAGTTAATATTTTATATGATCTCTCTATTATCTCCCTATTTTTTTGTGTAACTACATTGATAGCATATGTAGCATTTGTATACTGTACTCTGGCCCTTTAATCTTGATTCTACAAATAATGCTCACCACCCATTCTGTGTCCATGTCTCTCTGGTCATTTTGGTTGTCTGAAATGTATTCTTCAGTAGGTTCCTCAAGAAGGGCTCACGAGAACAATATTCCGAGTTCTTATAAATTGATAATAGTCCATACCTTTTATAATTGATTGTAGTTTCGCTATATTAAAATCTTTAGTTTACATTTTCTTCCTTTGAATATCTTAAATACATTATTCTATTTTCTTTATGTATAAAATGTTGCTGTCAAAAAGATTAACAATAATCTAATTTTAATTTCCTCAAGTCATTACTCTTTTTTTTAGATGTATAAAGGGCTTTCTCTTTCTTTAAAGTTCACTAAGTTTACTAGAATGATATTGGTGTTGGGTGTTGTATGTGAATATTCTCAGGTAGTGAGAATACTTTTAAGCTGCCTTAACAAGATTCCATTAATCTTTAGTAAACAATTCCTTACCTTCTGATTAAACAAGATTTTCCAGGCCCAGATTGTACTATTCCTTCCTCAGAACTAGAATAAGCCATTTATCTAGGGTATGCTGTTCATTGTATTTGAGAATGATATACAGAAACCAAGATATGGGTACTAGGTATCCTACTATGTCATCATTATCCAGGCCATTTTATATGTCTGAAAAATCAAAATATCTAATATTTTAATTATTTAATACATTAATATTTTCCTTATCTATCTATCTGTCCATCTATCTATCTGTCTGTCTATCTATTTATGGGTCCTAATAACCAGAATAGATTTATTTTACCAGTCAATTATATGGATCACTTCTTGTCTGCTTCCTATTGGGGGTATTTCAAAATTTATTCATTTGTCCAAATTTGATTGAATAAATACAAAACTTATGTGAGTGGCATATTAGATAGGCTGTCTTTGCTGTCATAAAATATTTCCAAAAACCAGGCTAAACAGAAGAGAAAATAGAGAGGCAATGCTTCATGGTTTCCACTGTGATATTCCATGAAAAAGAAATACAGCTTGTGCAAATATTATGCAACTTTTAGAAATATTATTTAGAAAGTACCATGTAATCGACAGTCAGCACAACGGTGCTTTTTGCCTTTGTAGAACAGACATGGCTGAAATGTTAAGGATAGGAGTGGGAGCCATACCCAGTGAATTTGAGCTACATGAACATGAATCTCAAGTGTCTTCTTCAAGAGCTCAGTTAGCTGGATAATTGTGTCATCCCCCTTTCTTGATAAGAGTAAACCAGGATAGATTGAGTGGCATTTGCCTACATTAGAAATTATGTATTTAGCTAATCTAAGTGCCTATTTGAAAAATGTGTTTGCTTCACAAACCGTTAATTAAGTGCAGAACAGCAAAGCATTTATAGCAGGACTTGTCTCACTGTGATGAGAAGCATTACCTATTCTTTATTTAAGTTGGCTTGAACTGACTTCAGAGGACTGGGATGCTCAGGACTGCTAAAGCCTCACACACCAGAATTGTGAGGTTCTGAAGCATCTGAAAAAATTTGCATCCCTTCCTTTAACATGACTACATGATTGCGTTGTCCTAAAGCTGAGTTGTCTGCTTTTCTGGCACCCCTTCCTTTGAGATGGTTTGAATTCACTGTTTACCTCCCAAACACTGAACTTATTACCCCCTCCATTAGTAGTGGCTGGCGCATAACTAGGAGCCAAGTAAATAAATGTTAAATTTGTCCAAGGACCATTGTCACTTTTTCTTTCTAGTATCATTCACTAAGTAAACAAAATACGTTTATGCCCCACAGTATGATCATTCTACATCTTCGCTTTTGTGAAGAAAAAGGAAGTTTTTTAAATTGTTGATATTCTTTAAATGTTCTTGTAGTTTTTTTTATTGCTTGTGGTGGGAGAGGGGAAAGAATTCCAGAAGTACTCTTAAATGTATTAAAAATTTTTAAGTTTGTTACTGATGCTCACAGGCTATTACCATTTCTTATTATGAATATTAATTATTACTCTGCTATTACGTAGTCACCTAGTGGGTCCTGCTGTGGGACACTCTCTCCTGGTTTCCCCCTGCCTCTCTGGCTGTGCCTCCTCAGCCTTCTCTGTAGGCTCATTCTCCTCTAATACCAAAACATTTAATGTCGGGTTCCTTAAAGCTGGGTCCTAGGCTGCCTCTATATCATTTCCTCGGACAACCTCCTCATCCAGGGGGGTAGACTTACTGCAGCAGACAGATGACTCATGCGTGTATGCCTCTTCTCTCTGAGGTGTAGAGCTGTATGACAGCTCCACTCAGAATCTCAGAGACACCTCAAATTCAACACATTAAAAAATTTATGACCCTTATCACTAAATTGGTCTTTTTCCATTTCCATGTCTCAACAAATGGCATCACCATTTATTTAAGTTGTACAAGTCCAAAACCTCAGGGCACACTGGAAGCATGCTTCACCCTTACTCCTCTATATCCAAAACATCATGATGTCCTAGTGATGTCACGTACTAAATATCTCTTCAGTTTGTCCATTTTTCTCCACATCCCACCACCAGCCCAGTCTCCGCTATGGCTATGGCAGTACTCTCCTTCAGCCATTTGTAGTGGCTGTGAATTAACAACCACAACTGGGGTGTGAAAGAGCATAACATTCTTTATGTTCTTTAAGATCAGCCTGTGCTGAATTGCAGCGACCCACCTCTGCTCACGGAGATGCACCTGTGTCCGAGGTCACAGGGCCAAGTCATCAGGGAAACATTCCAGTCACCAGATACAAGCCAAGTCTGTTGCCATGGAGACCTCAGCTACCCAAACCCACATGCTGCCACCAGCAGTCTTTGAGAAGGCTGTTCAGCCTCTGTTGGTTCCTCACACATTCCCCTCTGAGGCTTTGCTGTTCCCCAGGAGCTGCCAGGGAGAAGGGTGCATATCTTGCCCTCTTCCTCTTTTTTCTCAATACCTCCCCTCTCTTCTGTCCCTGTCAGTGACCTAGATTCATGTGCCTTTGATATAGCCCTTTAAAGTGAAGAGGAGCCTGTTTCTGCTCCTTAGAAAAACAGTTTCTGCTTTTCCATTCTTTGTAAATTACCTACAGCAGGAGTGAAAAAGACATCTGTCTCATCCGTCTATCTGTTGGATATGCAGAAAGGAGAAAATCAGAGATAACTTATACAAATTGCCTGCCCTACTCTCATTTCCTCCACACCATTCTCCATTCTGCAGCCAGAGGAATCTTCTTGACTCTCAGATCTGACTGCTGTGCTCATACTCAAAAACCCATCTGTGGCTTCCCTTGGACCACCTCCCAGCTCATAAGTTGTTCCTCTCCATTCCCTGGGCTCTGGCCACACAGATCTGCTCTCAGATCCCTGAACAGAGCTCTGTGCACGTGCCACTTGTCTAGGTCAGGCCTCCCGATATATACCCCATGCTCCACAGTCTTTCCCTAGTGACACTCCTCATAGCATATAGTTAGTTGTACCTTCAACTTATGGCTTTTTGATGGTCTCACCCACTGGATGTAAGCTCTGCGAGGGCAGGGGCCGCATTTGCTTTTGCTCACTACTGTTTCCCCAGGGCTTAGGCCAGTGTTTGGCACATCTAAAGAAAGAAAGAAGAGTGTAGGGAGGTGTGGGGGAGGAGAGAGGAGAAGGGAGGGAGAGGAACAAAGGAAAAGAACTTCATGTCTTTCACCATCAAGAATTTTTGTCTCTTGTTTGTTTTTAATTCAAATCTGCTAATCTCTTCCTTTAAAGCAATAGGGTATCTATTTAATATCAAGACAGTTCCTGCTTTCAAATTGCTATGTCACCTACTATAATTATTAACAATAATTATAATAATATTTAACATTTTTTAAGCCTTTACTTGGAGTCAAACATTGAACTTTATTCATTCCATGCATATGTAATTCTCTCAATGGCCATCTGTAGTGGACACAATCCTTACCTACATTTTACAAATAAGGAAAATGAAACCTAGAAAGCTCGAAGTCACATGGCTTGTCAGTGGTGAAGCCAGAGCACAACCAGCTCCATCAGTCTCCAGAGTCTGGCTCATAACCACTGAGATTTACTACCTCCCACAGACTTCCTTTATTCCTTTTCCTTCTTTCTTATTTTAGGGCTGCAACCCACTTGGCTGTATTAGCACCATAAATTATGGGTTTAGCTCAGGGTTTGGGGACAGGTAGAGGTGGAAGATTATTAGCTAGAAAAAAGGAAGAAAGGCAGGGAAGGAGGAAGGGAGACAGTGTGGAGGGAAAAGCAGCTCTGTTCCCGAGGGGGACAGTCCACAGTTCCCTTCAGGGTTTTGTTTTCATCACATCGAAGTATTTCCACATGCTTATGGCACTTCATAGTAAACCAGCTTCACAGCCTGTTTTACTGTCATTCCATCAAATCCCATCTGCCTACTCCTACTCTCTTAGATCCCTCTTTTCTTGTAACTCTTCACTCTTCATGAAGCATGCCATAAAGCTTTTTACTTAAATTGTTCACTTTTTCCATGAAAACAGGGCCTACAAAATGCAGCAGTAACAAATTCTGGTGTAATTCCCAAACCTGTCAAATGTAGGAATTAACCTTAAAGGTCACCCAGCCCAGCTCCTTTTCCAGAAAAAAATAAGACAAATAAACAAAATTAAACAGTAATAACAAAACAAATGGACCTTCCATTTGGTTCATAGACAAAAGCAGTCTATTTAGTCATTTGTAAATGATATCATGATAAAAAATATTTTCTCTGACAAGATGGTTATGTTAGTTTTTCTGAGTACACCATATCTTATTAATATCCCCATTTTACATTGAGGAAATGGAGGCCAGGGGGCTCCCATTTACTCAAAGCCCTATAGCTAATACTTGACTTCTGTACACAAGGCCCAAGTCTACCTCCATTTGACATTCATTGGGTTAAGTTACAGGAGGCATGTCTTGTTTCTAGAGCATGTTGCACAGGGTAGAAATTCTCAAGGAGCTGGTATAGCTGTTTGAAAAGCAACAGTTACTCACCTGAGTTTGACCTTTGCACTTTGTGTAAAGAAAGAGTTCCCTAAACAAAATAATAGTGCAAACCGAGTAGAAGGTGATGACAAACTATTTAAGTATTTAATTACTTCCTGCAGAAAGATATGTCTCTATGAATTAATTTATCAATTTTTTTAATGCCATTGTCTAAACACAGTTAATATTTGTTGGCAAATGTGTGATATTCTCATGCCAGTATAACTAGGGAATTCTCATGCCAGTATAAGTAGAATTCAGTGTCCTAGAACTCTCCCACTAAAGGCAAAGGGCATTGGCCAGAGCAGATATGTCAGGTTAAGGCTCTTGAGATGGCTACAAAAGGACCAACTATGCTTAGGGTCCAACACAGACTTACCTGTTTGATCCCTGACTCTCGATTATTTGCAACTCATGAACTCAAAACTTTCTTTTAAACACTTAAATTGCAATTTATCAGTAATCCACATTGGGCTTTCTGCAATTAGCCCACTTTTCTTTGTACCAAGTTTTGCTAAGAAAAACAAAAAAGGTGGGATATTTCCAGTGTTGTCTTTACCATCATTCTCAGTACTTCATGTACTCAGAAGTTCTCTTTCATGATTAATTTTCTCCTGGTGTAAAAGGAGATTTCCTTCTATTTAGAGATTTTTTGGCTATTGAAATGATGACATTATTTTCATTTGAATCATTGCATAATTACGATGACTAAAAAATGTTTTTGTCATCTTAGGCTTTGGCAAAACAAGCCAAGATTGATTTTGAAGAACAAGCCCTCAGAGAAAAGGAAATTCATGAACAGATTGCTGTGGAAAGAGCTCAAGCTCGTTACAAAAAGCATTATTCAATATGTGCAGAAATTTTGGATCAAATACTTGATTTATCTACCAAAGTGTCAGACTATCGAATGTTGACAAATAAGTAAGTATTGTATTTTAAAATTACCACAGAAAATGAGAAAGGATAAGATTGTAGAGACTTAAGTTGATAAGTAAAGAGACACAAAAATGCTTCATGATAAGAATACTAAGAAGTTCCAAGATACCTTAATTACTGCTTAATTCAACCACTCACTAGCCTTATTTAAAGTGTACTTATATGTCTTTTAACATTTAAACCCTATATCTAAATTCTCTATAATTAAAAAAGACAACTGTGATAATTTATCTGAAATTCTTGGAACTTCCTAGAAGATTGGAATTAAATTAAAGATTATTTTACTAGTCATTAAGTCTATTCATTTCATTAGACCTTGTTTATAAAAGGAATCAACTTATTTATAAAGAAATATTCAACAATACAAAAAATATTAAGAACATTCCATAAGAAGAGCAAAGGAAAATCCAAATTAAAGTAGAAAGTTAGGAATGAGGGATAAACTGGAACACAGTTATACAGGCAGCAGCAGATTTGCCAGCAGCAGATTTGACTGAGCTGCAGATTTTGTTTGGGCTTCCTGGTGGCCAAAGCAAACAGGGAAATATAATCTGTTACATGATTTCCATTTTCCACTCTAGTTCTTTACAGAATGAAAACTTTTCTTGTTATTCAGCTTAGAATAGTAATTTTCTCCTGTGGCCTCACCTAAGCTACACTGAGCAGTATAATGGATCTAGGGAAGAATGTCTTCAGCAACATCTTCTAAGCAAACATGGCATCTGGTTTCATAGACCTATTTCTTATGATGTCCCTTGCTGAAAGCTGAAGGGAATGACACCACAGTAGAGTTCAGGGAAAGTAATTCCACAAGACAAGGATAAGGCAAGCCAGTTAAATTTGTGTACCTCTCAAATTACCCAGACTGAAATCTTCTTGAGAAATTATAGTGAAAAGAATGAAAGCCAGATGACCTGCAGTCAGAGAGCAGAGGGGGAAAGCATCCGATCACCTTATGTATACTCCACAGCTCTCATTCCTGCAGCCATGGTTCTGACTCACTGTTATATAAAAACCACTAAATGAAATAACATAAATGGTGAGGACCATTTGAAGATGAAACTAATAAGGTAGAAGATTGAGAAAAAGAAAATAACACTGAAAATTGAAAGGAATTCAGGAGTAAACATTTAAAAAGTAGTTTTCAGATTAATATAAATTCAAAAATTCAGAAATTATAAGAACAAAATTAGGAAGCTAAACTATAAAAGGGTTAAAAGGAAAGGTGATACATGGTATTATAAATTCAAAAAATAGGTTAAATTACAGAAGGGTTAAAGTGGGAGATTTAAATATAAAAATATAAAATAATTCAAAGGGGATATAAAATATAGAAGAGAGTAGATTGGTTTCCCTAAACAAATAAAGTTTTGTAATTTAAAACTAAGACATAATGCAAATCCCATTCTGCTCTGGGAAAATGGAGTATATGCCCTTTTCCCAATTCCTCCATACTAAGTACAACAAAATAACTTGAATGTTCTATATGAAACAAAGACTAGACTCAGAAGGGTAGGGAGAAGAAGTGAGACTAGCTAGTGGCCTCAGGACCTGAGGAACAACACAGTGGTGAACTTCCTGTGTTTTCTTTTGTCTCACATATTCCACCTATCCTAGAGGCAACTTAGATCCTTCTTTGCAGCCCATATAAGTATTATTTCTATGTCAAGTAGGCAACTTAAAAGTCAATTTACAGAGCATAACTTATTAGTAAAGTGAGGACTTCCTATATGTATTTAGATTGTTGTGATAGTTTGTGGTATATACTCATCTGCCTTTTATTACTCTACAAATCCTGCTTCATGAAAATTAAATGGAGAATATATGGCTCTATGAAACTTTTATTTTAAATGAAAATATGCAAAATATTTTTAATTAATATTCTTTTATCTGAATATTAATACTGTTAAGTATTAATTTTAAGTACTTTTAAGTACCCCCAATCTCCAGCAACCACCCATCTGTTCTTTCTATGGGTTCAGGTTTTTTTTTTTGTTTTTGAACAGATTCCACATATAAGTGAGATCATATGGCATTTGCCCTTGTCTGACTTACTTCAGTTGTACAATGCCCTCAGGGTACATCTATATTGTCACAAATGGTGAAATTTCATTCTTTTTCATGGCTGAATAATATCCCATTATATATATATACACACCACATTTTCTTTATCCATTCATCCTTTGATGGGCACTTAGGTTGTTTACATATCTTGGCTACTGTAAACAATGCTACAGGGAACATAGGGGTGCATATATCTCTCAAGTTACTGTTTCCATTTTCTTCAGGTAAATACCTAGAAGTGGAATTGCTGGATCATATGATAGTTCTATTTTTAGTTTTTTGAGGGCTTGCTATCTTCCACAGTGGCTGTAGTAGCAGTAGTAGCTTAGTAGTCTACACTATGAAGTCAAGATAAACTCATCTTAGTCTCCCTACGTAAAAAAGATGTTATCAGGTTGTTGGTTTTTTTTAAAGCACAGATATATTTTTGGTATTACCCTACTTAAAGGAACTTACTTTTGTTAATACTGCTTCTTTAAAGTATTAATATTCAGATAAAAGGATATTAATTCAATAACTGCAAGATTAAGTTTTGGACAATAGGTTGTTAATCACTTACTTCCAATAGAAGCCAATACCATTCTAATAATTCTGATATTACAATATTTCTATGTCTATGTCTGAGCTTATAATTTATTGACTTCCATATCTTCATAAAGTAAACTTTGGCAACTATAAATATTTTATTAATAGAAAACATAATATGATTATATTTGAAGTTGTACATTTAATTGAAAGACTTTTATATTGTGACAAAGCACTCATAAAACTTACCCTTTTAACTGTTTTTAAGTGTACAATTCAGTAGCATTAAATACATTCTCATTGTGGTGCATCTGTGATCACCATCCATCTTCAGAATTTCTTTATTATCCCAAACTGAAATGCCGTACCCATTAAATAATAACCCAGCCCCTGGTAACCTCTATTCTACTTTCTGTCTCTATGTATTTGACTATTTTAAGTATCTCTTATAAGTGGAATCAGACAATATGTGTCCTTTTGTGCTCCCCTTATTTCTTTTCTCATAATGTCTTCAAGATTCATCCACATGTGTCAGAATGGAAGAAATGAAATACTACTTATCAAGTTGTAATTTCAAACTCTAGTTCAACTATTTTTAGAAAATGCATGTGAATCATGTCAGGCTTTTTTCTTACTTTGCACATTTTGTTCCCCCTTGAACTAGTTTCTGTCACTGTGTCCTGATTACTTCCTAATTATTTATCAGACTTAAATAGAAATAATTACTGGAAAATAATTTTAAAGGCTACCAAATGTGCAATGACAATAAGACAGTAGATTTTTCCATTACAAATTATTTGTAAGTGTGTAAACCACCTTTCATCCTAAAGGGGCCTTGGGAAGTATTCAGCTTGTTCATTTTGCATAGGAGGACACTGATACTAGAGCATTTAAATGATTTCCTAAGGTAACACAGCCATTTAATATCATAGCTGAGAATTAAAGAACCTGTGTTTTATGATAGCACTCATTATTTTAAGATGTGCTTTTCTGTAGGTGCACAGTCAGTAAGAAAGTTTGAAGAACCTGTGGCTTTAAGTAACATTCATTCATTCAAACCTACTAAGTCCCAGACATTTTACTAGCCATTATCTATATAATAGCAACTGGAATCCCTGTCTGCAAACAGCAAACCATGGAGAATGACTACGACAATAGAAAGCCTAAGGTTTAGGGTATATATTTGACTAGCCATTGGTTCATTTTACCTTTTTTTTTCTTTTTTGCTATAGTCTGATTCCATATAAATTGATGCATGATTGGAAGGAACTGTTTTTTAATGGAAAGCCCATATACAGCCAAGCCTCCATTAAGCATCTACCAGCTAAGCCCTCTGGAGAACAACTTACAGAACTGGAGAAAAGGGACTTGCTAGATAACAATGATTATCAAGAATATAAGGTACACACTGATATGGAATAATTAGAATGCAACATAATAAATGGTGTTTCTTTAACCTTAATTTTGTGATATTATTTCATTTCTTCCCTATTAATAAAAATGGGCATTTTATGTTTGCATTTTCCCTTGGTTTAATTTGTATTCATAGTAATAAATTATAAATGCCTAACCTATTCACAATCTATTATCTTTTGCTCCTAGGAATATTGGAAGAGTGCTCTGAAAAAAATCAAGCATAATACATTGTCAGGGCAGATGGATTTCAAAATTTTTAAAATGTTTTAATTTATTCATTAGCATTGTTCCTTGTATAAGCAAGCTGTCTACCTTTGCTTCAAAAACCTGTTAAAAGGTTTTTCTTAAATAATTTTTCTAAATAGTATATTACTTTTGGAGGCAAATGCAAGAGGAGTAGGTCTGAGCTTTATGAGTATCCTAGGTCAAGCAAAATTTCATTCAAATATTTAAAAAGTAATTATCAGTTGCCAGTGGTGCCTCTTAGAAGAGGGATGTAAAGCCTTTGAGGTTAGACAGACGAAGGTCCCATTATTGGCACTTCCAACTGCCACTTGTGAGATCTCAGATGGCCAGTCCCTTTAGTGCTAAGAGACTTGGTTCCCAATTTATGAAATGGGGATAATAACATATCTACTTTATTTTGTTCTTGGGAAACTTTTAAAATAGTGTTAAACACTTAGCCAAGTGCACTGCATGTTGGGTGCAAATAATACATATTAATTTCTTTCCTCACCACCCTGACCTCCCCACCCCACTTCATCTTTATCTTTAGGAGGAAAGATGTAAAATTAGTAGCTATTGGATAAGAGTTCTGGGTAAATCAACAGCAACCCATAGAAGAATGAATCTTTTTATTATTTTAAGTAATACTGAATGAGTTCCAGAAGGGTGGTAATTTCCACATGAAAAAGAGAAGGAAAGATGACTCAACCCATTCATTTGCTGATATTTAGCAAATACTCAATAAACATTTATTG